GACAGAGTACGTATGATCTTACGAACATTTTCATTATGCGCAATAAATCGACTTTTGTCTCCCAAACATTAAATCGACAAAAATAAATAAGTAAAATAATGTTCAGCGCACTCTGGAGGACTTTACAATGTGGTACTGAAAATTTCTTAAAATAACCTCTGCTTAAAATAAATATTAAAGTGATCCAATGACAATTATTTAGTTGATAAGTTTTATTTTTCGTTCACGTTTTAGACACCACTAGTTATTTTATGTTGTTTATAGAAACTTAACTAAGCTATAGCAGGCAAGAAGAAAGGGGATAAAGTTTGCTTCTAATGTTGGAGAAATTATGGTATAATTTTAGTACATTCGAAACTTAATCCGAACTGCATATTTTTTTTATTCAAACGTCCCTTTCTCTAAGAGCTCGGTTTGAATTTATTTCATGGGAAGTATCGGAACCACCACAGAAAATGAACGTAACTTTACGTATTAAAAAAGTAAATAAAGTTTTCGTTTTTATGGCGTGGTATCAGTTCTTAAAGATAAACTTAAGTACTCTTCTGTACGAACGGTTTATCTACAAATGTCACGGTGATTCAGAAGTGAATGTTTACTAAGCATTCGAAACTGTTTAGATAAAGTATTGGGGGTATGGTAAGATTATCCTGTATATATTTCCATATATACAACCCGGCGCATTTAAAGATGTTATAATTTGTTAACATTGTACATGCGCGTAGGCAGGGTTGTGTATGAAGAGGGTGCGATCACACCCCCCGAATTTCAAATATTTAAGTGTAACATATTTCAAAGGCGTAAAAAAAAATGCTTCAGATATCAAGATGCCCCATTTTCGTAGCACATTCTCTTCATGCTTTTCTGCCTACTCACACACCCGGCCTAATAAACCTATTGAAAACTGTAACCACTTTACACTATTGACCGGAGTTCAATAAGTGTCACATAATGTATTGTAAATGTTATACTTCACGTTGTGTGTTAGTGAATTTGTCAGCGAATATCTTCCCTAGATTTGGAGTTAGCAGAACCAAACTTGGCAGGCTAACTTGGAGTAGCCTGTTGGGTGTCCTTGTCTGTACGATTTAGTCCTCTTTCCAAGAGAGGGGCTAAATGCGTCCGAAAAATACTCTGGCATGATGGGTATCTAGGAGTAGGTTTTCAGAGTCGATAAACCCAAATTATGTTATTGGCCCCCTCGAGCTCCCGGGAGGCGCCATGTTTGAAACTGTATGCATACCCAGCTCTGGTACTAACGAGATTTGTTTTCTGGTAAAGATCCCTTTTGGGTAACAATAGAAGTAACTGTGGATAATGTAGGATCTTGGGTCCTGGGGGCCTTTGTATATCATAAAGAGGCCTTTGAATCCCGCAGTGGAGCGCTGGTATTTTGTGTTAGTAGATGTTAAGCCGTGCATTGCGTATTGTGTTTCGTTTGTTTACATTTAAGAGGTACATCTGCTACACGGCAGTCATCTCTATATAGCATGGACGTGGTAATAATTTAGAAAATGTGCGTGAATACAAGCTCGCGAAAATCACATAATGTATCGTTATATATATCAAAAGGACAAAGTACACTTTCAGGCACATAACAAGAACTACTAGTGATGAAATTACAATCCCAATCAGACGGCGGCTGCTCCCACTGCCCACTGATAGGACTGGACAGTGGACAGTTTCTTTGTCTCAGATCAGTTCTTTATTTTTTCATCATTTCCCCCTCTCTTTTCGTCCTTACTGCTTATTGGACACGAAACATGATTGCAGATGACTGCAAAGGACGAAAGCTGAAACAGAACTAGACGAAAACCATCAGAAAACTCACGAATACAGCGAACAAAGTAAATATACCTTCCACTCACTACAACTAAGCGATATAGCGAACACCCTAAATTTAAGTTCATTCTCGTAGGAAGATCCTCTAAAAACCATAAGAAGGTGCAGCTAAACAATAATGTGAGAACGCAACGGAAGTTTAAAATTGGCGGTTACTATGGGTAAGAAGGAGCTTATAATGAGCTGAAAACCTTTTAAATTTTATTTTTATAATTCTAAAGTAAGTATTTGATATTAAGGTTCTGTTTATTTAAGTATGGAGATTTCAAATTATTTTGTTTTTAATTCTAATGGCGCGATTTTAAAGTTATAAATATATTTAATTATGACTTCTCTATGCGTACGGACCATCAGGGGCTTACAAAGATGCTAGAACAATCTTACAGACTTTATATTATCCACGGGCAGAGTCTAATAAATAAAGATGAGTTCCATTTAAGTAGAATTATTGTAATTTGAAATATTGAGTTAACGTGTCTGTGGTTGAATACCGATTCTGAAAAAAATGCTCCAAGAAATGATACACTTCGAAATTATACCTAACGGAGATTGCCTAAGTGTGGATATATGAAAAAATGTTCATAATGTTTTTGTATAATACAATCTGCTGATGTGTTCATAATCATGAATTGACTCTTAAGGTTGGCAAATTAATAATAAAACGTAAAAAAAACTCTGCTTAATAATAAAATAACGTTATTGAGGTAAGACGTGTATCTGCTTTAAATGACAAAATATTTTTTGTCACTTAATTTTTTTTCAAACCTAAGAGTTGATTTATAATTATGGAAACTCCAACTTATTGGACCAGAAGTAGGCCTAGTGGGTAATGTGCCCAGGATACAAATCGAAGGGTCCAAGGTTTGAGTCATGATGTAGTAGAACATGCTCCGTACTTTAACAGTGACAGTCAATCCCGTTATTTGGTTCAAACAACCGAAACAAAAAGCCCTTGTTACTGCTGGCTGCCTTCTCTGGTCAGTAGTTCAAAATTAGGAAAAACTCTACCTGAATCACATAGGACCCTGAGTTGGTTGCTTAACCCTCACGTGCGCGTGAGGAGCCATTGAGGTTTAAAAATCCAACTATATTATATTATGTTGATTTAGTATTAACCATCTGGAGGCAACATGTATCTCAAACTGTATTCTAGCTAAAAAAACAATAGCATAGAAAAACGTAGTATTCATTCATTTACATTAGTTTGTAAGTGTACCTAAACTAATCGATCTTGTTTATTGTTTGTAGATGGTTTCTGTTGATTATCTCGTGTATGACAAATGCTTTTAGCAATAAAATGATACCTGACTCGTAAATTAACTGTTTGATTGGGTGCCTGTTTAAAGCTCATAGCCACTCAGAGTGCAGATTAAAAATATATATCACTAAACGTTCTTAAACTGTTTTTTTTATTAATATTTCGAAATTATAATATAATATCAAGGTTACGGCTATAAGTTTAAAATACCCGTATAAGCGTGTGCGAAGATAAATTAAGTGAATTGTATGTTCTCTTCCAGTAAATTTAAGTCCTAGTGATACGTATTCACATCTTTTGAACTCGAGGGATATGTTGTTGAGAATAAATATACCATATTTTGTGTCATATGATTTTTGTTTTAGAGTTGCCATGCTAACAAAATAACAAACCTAAATGAAGCACTCATCGCTAAGCCTAGCAAAATAAACATATCACCGAGATCTTGTCACTTTTCCGTGTATATGTTACTTATTCTTATCCATTCCATGATAATTTTCCATGTTATTTAAGCTGACCTTAATTATATCATAATCATACTTGACATGCCTTAATCTCGACAGCTTTGCAAATAATACACATTTCTATCAGCAGCTGAGATGCATGCTGTGAAATAGTTAATTTTCCAGAAATTTTATTTTTTAAACAAGTTATAATTTCAGTGTTTCACTTTTCTTCTTAACCATTAATGATTTATCATTTTGTTTCTATTTAAACGATTAATGTAATTTGCTACATTAAAAGTTCTCATATATAAGGATCACGTGACTAAAAAAACCGTGGCATGCTTTGGATCAGAAGCTGGAGCCGGTTTATCTTGCTCGTGCATTTATTTTTTCGGGTGGTGCAAACGGAAATACTAAGAATGTTAATGACATATCTAGAGGGGGACGGGGATTGGAGAAAGTGAAAATTATATTGGGCTTTAACCTCTATTAATTAAATGACAGCACTTTTTGGACTACACTCACTACTCAGAATTCCTTTTGTTGTAGAAAGAGGACTCGTAGTGCTTGATTTGCACAACTGAGTTAATGCTTTTAGCTTCAGTCTTCATTCAAGCCTTGGTAAGCATTACTGACCGGCATGCGCAGATCATAGTGATTATACTGTGTGCCTACCTGTCTTCTAACTGATCAACCTATAAAGATCGTAGTAACTAGACTGTGTACTTGTCTTAAATAGCAAACAAATATTTTGAAAACAACAATTGATTGTTTCAAAAGACCGTGAAGGTAAGTGAAAATGTTGTTTTATTTTATTAGACATGCAGGTATTTGTTTAGACTTGCAGTTGTGCCTTCAACAATAGCAAACAAGTGAATACTGAAATTGAATTGTTTAACAGTATGGGTTAGAACTAACCAGTCAAAGCAATGACCCATCGTCACTTAGGTTAGAACTAACAAGTCAAAGCAATGACCCATCGTCACTTAGGTTAGAACTAACAAGTCAAAGCAATGACCCATCGTCACTTAGGTTAGAACTAACAAGTCAAAGCAATGACCCATCGTCAC